CTGCGGACGGTGAAGGACTGCCTGGCCTCCATCGCGCGCCGAGTGGGCGGCCCTGAGGGCCCACGCTGGCTGCCCCGGACCTTCAACCTGCGCACCGAGCTGCCCCAGTTCATCAGCTACTTCCAGCAGCGGGAGAGGAGGTAGGCCCTGCCGGGTGCCGAGCCACCGGTAGAGACCCCGGGACCTCCAGCCTCCACCCTCCCTCCCACGTGCAGACGGCTCCTTAGCCGAGCACCTGCTGTGTGTGCTGCGGCCTGAAGTGTGGGCCCCGAGCTCTGCCCAGGCGTGCGTCCCATGGGCTCCTCTCAGCCTCCACTGAGGCTGGCCCTTCACCAGAAATGCTGCTCCGTGGCTCTGCAAGCTGCCCCTGGGCCAGCCTCTGACAGCATGATGCATCCCTCAGCTCCCAGGGAGACAGTAGCTTCCAAGGACTGGCGGGGGCAGGGGCGTTGCCCAGGCAGACCCAGGTGCACCCCAGCCGGCCCCTTCTGCTCCCCAGGGGTGAGGACAACCACTGGATCTGCAAGCCCTGGAACCTGGCCCGCAGCCTGGACACCCACATCACCAAGAACCTGCACAGCATCATCCGGCACCGGGAGAGCACCCCCAAGGTGGGCCCGGGCTCCACGTGCAGGGGGCTCAGTACACATCTACCTGAGAGCTAGGGCAGAGGGCTTGGGTGTCGAGGACCCTGTGGGTAGGCCAGCTGCTGGGGCGCTTAGGGCAGGCCGGCAGCACCTCGGGGTCATTCGCTCACAGGAGTCGGAGTACTGGTCTGCAGTCCCCGCCCCACCGCCCCGACTATTGCCTGGGGAAGGGCCGCGTGCCGGTGCTGGGAGAGCAGCAGAGGCCCTCCCTCAGAGCCATCTCAGGTGTGCGTCTGCCCCGTGGTCCCTCATACATGCCACACCTCATGCTGTGGTGCCTGTAGGAGGGGGAGGGCCGAGCTCAGACCAGGAGCCCTTCCAGGCCACACGAAGGCTCCATGATGACATGGGCACGTCCTGAGGCAGTATGGGGGGGGTCACAGGACATAGTCCGTGGGGCCCCGTCTGCAGCACAGGGACCTACCTGTACCGTGAGGAGGATCACTGTGGGACTTTGGGCAGGGTAAGACTGAATTAGTATTCCAATTTCAAAACTTGAAAGTCGGGATTTTTTTTCTTTTTTTTTCAGTTAAAGCAAAGATGGGCTGGTCTCAGCCTAGTGGTTAAGGGAGCAAAATCCAACATGGCTGACCACAGTTTGAATCCTAGCCCCTGCAACTCGAACAACCCCCCAGGCACTGCGTGTGCATGCCCCAACCCCCCATGGGATGAGAAAATGGAGAAGGGATTGCGATGTGGCCACCCCCCCTGGGGGGGTGATTTCTCACTTTCTATCTCTCTGTCTCTCTCTGTCTGGCGAGCGCACGTGCCCTATAGCAAAAACCTCTCAAAAAAAAAAAAAAGAGAAAATGGAGAAGGGACAGCTACGTGGCCACGCCCCATTGGGAGTTGCCTTCTCCCTCTCCAGCTCTCCCTCTGGTGGGCATGAGCACCTTCTAGCAACTTAAAAAGTAAAGATAGAGGGACCAGCAGTTGGCGTAATGGCTATGTCACTGGACTCCCATGTAGTTGACCAGTTTGAGTCCTGGACCCGGTGGCTTAAATTCACACCAGGCACGTGTGCGTGCGTGCCCAAGATCCCAAGAGAATGGAGGAGAAGGGATTGTGGCGTGGCCATCCTCCCGGGGGTGATTTCTTGCTTTCTGTCTGTCTGTCTGGCGAGCACACGCGTCCTATAGCGAAAACCTCTCCAAAAAAATAAATAAAGATGGAGACTTATGTACGAATCGGCTGCATCTGGGCAGAGTTTGCAGAGGCAGGAAGAGGCAGTGCAGTCACCGTGGGCCTCGTGGCACTGTGAGCAGGTCCCCAGGTCCCCTCGTGGGTCTGTCGTGCTCCAGGTGGGTGCGGGGCTCCAGAATGCTCTGTCCCAGGGAGGAGGTGAGAGCCGCCTGCCAGCCCACCCTGTGTCTCCAGGTCGTGTCCAAGTACATCGAAAGCCCCGTCTTGTTCCTCCGTGAGGACGTGGGGAAGGTCAAGTTCGACGTCCGCTACATTGTGCTGCTAAGGTCCGTGCAGCCGCTGAGGCTCTTCGTGTACGACGTGTTCTGGCTGCGCTTCTCCAACCGGTGAGCACGGGGTCCAGGGTTGGGCCCTCCCTACCACTCCTCCCCTTCCACCCTTACCACCACCCCCATCCTCCACCACTCTCCGAGCTGTTCTCCCGTGGTGAGTGGAGGCCACACTCACCCTCCTGCTCAGGGCTCTGTCACCCGCTGGGGTGGATGTGACTGCTCCTGTGGCCTGCAGCAGGTCCTCGCAGCATGCACACTGCTCTGGCCCCTGCTCGGAGTGGGGGCAAGAAGGCAGAGGGCAGGTCTGCCCGGCCCCTCACCCCAGCCCGGAAGGCTCAGTCGTCAGCCACCTTGCACACGTGGGAACCCACCGTGTCTGTCTGTAGGCCCTTCACCCTCGATGACCTGGACGACTACGAGAAGCATTTCACCGTCATGAACTATGACCCGGATGTGGTGCTTAAGCAGGTAGGTGCTGGCGGGACCTGGGCGACGAGGTCACAGGGAGGTCGGCGCAGACCCGGATGTGTCTGTGGCCGTACTTGCTTCTGAGGCCAGACACACGGCCTATCCGGGCAGCCGCCTGACGGATGCGGGTTTTAAAGCAACCATGACATGCCAGGGCCGGTGCCCAGCTCACACCAGGCAGCCTCCCCGCAGTGCTGACCACTCTCTCCATCTGAGGGAACGGGCAGCGGGGCCACCCCCACAGGCTGCCTTCGAGGCACCCACAACCATTCAGCACCACCCAGCTGAACTGGGGGCACAGAGGTTCCTGTCTGCAGCATGGTCAGGCAGGATGGGCCCTGCTGCCCCCCGGCCTGTGACCAGCCTGGACCTGGGGTGCCCTGTCCTCCCCAATACTGCATTCATGGAGCCCCCACAGTGGCACTCGGTGGTGGCTCTGCCGTCTGGGCGCCTGGAGCAAAGGGCATCAAGGCAGAGAGGCTTCCCAGGATGTCAAAGCAGCCAGCACACCTGGGGCAGGGGGTGCACCTGGGGCAGGGTGTGCACCTGGGGGAAGGAGGCACACCTGGGGCAGGGGGTGCACCTGGGGAGGGGAGGGGGGATCTGGGTACAGGAAGGAGGAGAGAACAAGCTACTAGAGTTCTTGTCCCCACAGTCCTCTCCGATGTGTATTTTTCAAGCCCCTGGGGCTGCATCTAAACTGCAGTCGTCCACGTGGGCTCCAGCTCCCTTAACCACAAGGCTGTGGGGCCAGCCTTCCCTTTTTTCTTTTTGCTCTGTGAGCGACAAGAGAGACAGGCACCCCAGCAGGCCCTTCGTGACTCAGTCTCCCCCGAGTCTCAGCAGCCTGGTTCGCAAGCACGCACCTGAGCCGGTGTGCTCTGCAAGGTCCTGTTGGTGCCCAGGAGTGTCCAGTGTGTCCGTAAGCAGTCTGTCACTCTGCACACCTGGGCCTTGACCTAAGTCCCATGCTGAGCCGAGGGTCCCATTTCTGTGCTTACAGGTCTGCAGAGGGCGGCTGCGGTCCTGGACTTGGCCTGGCCTCTCACTGTTCACAGCCTGAGCTCAGGCGCCTCGCTGTGCCAGGCCCGAGACATCCTCAGGGACTCATGGAGGGGACCTGAGTGCCTGCAGCTGTGTGGGCCTGAGCGATGCCATGCTCCTCCTCCCTCTGCGTCTGTGTCGGAGGCCAGTCCCAGGGCCCAGAGCCCTTAGGGGTTGTAGGAGGTCGTCCCTGGCTAGTGAGCACCACCTCTCGCAATGAGTCATCTGGGGAATTACTTTATGAAGCCCTGCTCAGGGGACAGGGCGCGAATGTCACATGCCCATGAGGCTCACAGGCTTGCCTGGGGAGATCCAAGCTGACTACCAGCTGGCTCAGTGAGCTTAGGTACAAGATCGTGCTGTCCCTTGGGCACTGGAGCAGGTGCTGGCCAGTGCGCAGGCCCGGCCCGGCAGACCACATCCGAGCCCTGCCCCATTGCACTGCTCGGCACTGGCCATGTTCGTGGCTCTGCCCAGGCCTGGCAGCCTGGTGAACCATCAGCATTTGGTGTGTCTCAAACCTCACAGCAGCCCCGCAAAGTGGTTCACTGGGCAGGGCCCATCCTCGCATTTTACCGAGGGAAAACAGACTGAGAAATCACCAGCTTACCCAGGCCTCGCAGTGCGATCCCGAGCTCAGCCATCTCCTGCCTCCCGCGTGTGCCCTGAGGGGCTAGGACCAGACGGGCACCAGTGCTGACCTATGTCCCGGGCTCCGGGTCTGCAGGGGCAGGCATCGCCTCCCCCAGCAGAGTGACAGGCCCCATGTCGTTAACAGGTCCACCACGACGAATTCATCCCCAAGTTCGAGGCACAGTACCCGGAATTCCCCTGGAGAGGAGTCCAGGTAAGCCCTGAGCCGGGGGTGCTGGGGCGTGTAGAGCTGCCGCCTCCCACCAAGGCTGAGCCAAGACCGCCCGCCCCTCCCATTCAGCCTGTGTGGAGGCCCCTCGCTGGGGGGCAACCCAGAGAGACGCTTGCGACACCCAGGAAAACGACGGCAGTGGCCATGCCTGTGCTGGGGCCCAACCACCAGCAGATTGTCCCCAGGTCCCAGAACGAGCATCCCGTGTGCTGCGCTGAGCTCGGGGCGGGAGCAGGGGGTGGGGGGCGCTGGGCGGAGTTGCAGAAGGTGGACACTGGGATTAGGGGTGGTGTGGGCCATCTGGGGACTGGGGCTCAGGGCTGTGAACCCTGTACTAAGGGACTGCCCTGGTGGTGGGCCCCCATCCCACCCAGGCCGAGATTTTTCAGGCCTTCAAGGAGCTGTTCCAAGCGGCGTGTTCCAAGCCACCACCCCTGGGCCTCTGCCACTACCCCTCGTCCCGGGCCGTGTACGCCATCGACCTCATGCTGAAGTGGGACAGTGGTCCAGATGGTGAGGGGCTCCCTGTCCCACCCCCCCAGGAGGAGGGGAAGGGGTGCTGTCCCAGGAAAGTGGCTTGGGGAGGTCCCGGCGTGGCACCCGGGGAAGGGGAGATGCCTACAGTGCCAAGTGGAAGGGGCCAGCAGCCGGGGAGGTGTCAGGAGCTCCCAGGACAGGAGCGGGTGAGGGCACTCACCTCCAAGGCCCCGGCCCACCCCTGACAGACCTGCACCTCTGCTTCCTCCTGACTGAACTACACCTGTGCACAAGGTGGCAGGCTCTCGTCCCCGGGGTGGAGGGCTCGGGCCTCTCCTCGAGGAGCAGAGGTCAGACTAGGTGGCTCCGCAAAGCCAGACAACCGAGTTCTAAGCCCTGCCGCGGCGAGAGCTGGGGCCCCTCCCTGCCCTCCTGGCCTCACACCCTCCCTGCTTCACCATCAGGGAAGCAGGTAATGCAGCCGCAGATCCTGGAGGTGAACTTCAACCCAGACTGCGAGCGGGCCTGCCGGTACCACCCCAGCTTCTTCAACGACCTCTTCAGCACCCTGTTTCTGGACCAGCCCAGTGACTGCCATGTCACCCGCCTCCTATAGGCCTTCACTGTCCCCTCAGCTGCCCTCGCGGTAGGATGCCAACCTTGGTTCTCTGTGCTGCTTCTGCGAAGGACCTCCCCTGCCTCCCACCCGGCCCCAGCCCCTGCTCTCCGAACTGTCATTCTGGCTCCACCCGGGAGTGCAGGGTCCTTCATGGCTGGGACAGTGGCAGCATCCCCGGGCCCACACTGTCCCTAGGCCTTGGGCAGCCTCCCCTGTGTGCCTTGGTGAGTCTACAGCTGAGCCAGGGCTCGTTCCTGGCTCTGGGCACTAGTTCTGGGGATCGAGCGTGTGCCCGGAATCTGGATCCCTAGGAAGCCTCGGGGAGCTCTGCCTCAAACAGGGCCTCTGGTTTCCTTTCTGCGATCTCTGTCCTCAGGCATCATGGCTCCCCTGAGCAGGTGTCGGGGTCCCTGGCTGCCCTCACAGGCTCTTTCGCAGGTCCCCGGGACAACCTGGGGAAGCTGCTTACCAAGTCAGCCATACGGCCAACCCACAGCTCAGCCAAAACTGTACCAGCAGCCAGCCGGCCATCCCAGGCAGGAAGGCCAGCTTTGGCTGCATCCCCTTTCCATTTGGCAGGGGTGGGCCTGGCCTCGGGGAGGTAGGCCTCATAGGGTCCCTCTTGTCCCAGTGGCATCCCCACTGGCTGGCAGCTCACTGGGTCCTGCCCTCTGAGAGAATTGGGTGCTGTGTGAAGGGCCCAGGATGCTGATTCCAAGGAGAACTTCAGGCACCATCTTCTACCAGGTCCAGGGGCAAGATGTTAGATGCGTTATTTTTTAATTTATGAGCAGAACATGTCCAAGTGTACTCCTTGCTGAATTTTGTTTCTGAAATTGGGAGTCAGCCACCCACATGTTTTGTGTAGCTGCAGTGTGCCTGGACCCAGCTCAGGGATGGGGTGGGCTGACTCCTTGGCAGGCCGGAGCAGTTTCTGGAAACTTCCACATGTGGGAAGAAAGGGCTGGGCCTGGTGGTGGTTTTTGTTTTTGAAGCGAAAGTGACCCTTATACCAGAACTGGATGTGATTCTGTCCCCGTCCCTGTGTCCGTCTGGGCGTGTGTGTCACCCTCTGTTCAGCATCACCCCCTTTCTGCTGGGAGCACACCCCCTCCCCTTGCTGACCCAGTCGCTGCTGCAGGGTGAAGGTGGGTGCTCCACCTCTGGTCTTCTGCCCTGGAGAGCTGCTGACACCCTGCCCTCCTCTCTGGATTTGTGTTGCAATAAAGTCTGCCTTCTTTTATGGCTGCTGCCTGCATCTAGGGTCCTGGGGCCACAGGCTCGGCTGGGGCGGCCGTGCACTGCCCCTGCCGCTGCCAGAAAACCTAGACGCCAAGGTGTGCACGTGAGAGACGGGAGAGGAGCAGACGACGTGGAGCCCTCCGGGGCCCCCAACTTGCCATTCGACTCCCCAGCACTGGTTCCCCCACTGGTCTGGGCACCAGGGCAGGGCATGGAGCCAGGCCGGCCAGCTCTGCACCCCCACCTGCGAGGTCAGGCGTCTGAACCCAGCCGGCTCCAACACCTTTGCCTGGAATAAGGAAAGGCCAATGATGATAGCTCAGGGCTGCACTGTAAATACGCCCCACGGCAGCTCCTCCGGCAAGAGGCGCCAGGGTCTCTAGCTCAGGACAGGAGGAGCAGGCTTCTCCTTGGCGCCTCCAGAGCAGCAAACAGCCGAGTGTGGGTCAGGCTTCCGTGATCACGCCCCACCAGCCTGGGCCGCTCCAACTGCACGTAGCCTTGCCTTATACCAGCACGCCAGGCCACAGTGCAAACCCGCGGCCTTAGGAATCTGTGCGGCACAGATTTCCCGTCACACCTATGTGGGACCACCCCATCTGGTGGTTGAGGCGGCTGGATCCCACATGGCTGTGCAGTTCAAGACCCAGACCCGGCGGCTTGGAAAGCGTGCCAGATGTGTATGTGCCCCAAATCCAGAGAGGAGATAGAAAGGATTGCAGCATGGCCACCCCCCGAGGGGTGCTTTCTCACTTTTTTTTCTACAGCAAGCACACATGCCCTCTGGCAAAATTGGGGGGAAAAAATACAAAAACTATACAGAAATTGTCAAACACCTAAAATCCCTGATGGGTGACAACAACTTAGGAAAACAGAGAACTCTGTGAACAGGGCAAAGCCTCGAACCGATGGCAGAGTACACCCCCCTCGGGCCCACTGGTGTCCATGGGGGGAGGCTGGTGAGAAGCATGTGGGACGCTGCAGGCAGGGCGCAGACACGCACGTCTGGGATGGGCCAGCACCATCCGGATGGGCATCACTGCAAGACCCTAGAGGCCTCAGACGAGCCTGCCTTAGGTCCTGGGCATCGGGTGCACATAGGTGCCCCATGACTCATGGCCCCCTGCACCACGCATACAGGGCCATCTGGAGTGGAGACGGCCCAGAGGTCCCAGACCACCCAAGGTGAAGCCACGGAGCAGGGGGCGACCCTCCTGTCCGCTGGGGTTGGACCTGCCCCTTAATACCCAGCACCCCAGCCTGTGCTCCCGGCAGACTGCGGCTGACTGGAGCGGGCACCAGGGGGCAGGTTGGGCGGTGTCCCAGCTCCATGCCCAGCACTGTCCTGCACGGGACACAGGCGAAGTCAAAGGTTGGGCTCCAGTCCTGGACCAGCCTTTTGAGGGACTGGGCTGAATGTCCTGGGAGCCGAGGGAAGTGGGCAGCACCCCTGCCCCCACCCAGTGCCAGCCGGGCAGCAGCAGGGGCCATGTGAGCTCTGGGTCAGACCCAGCTGCTGCACCCTAGTAGCCCACCTCAGCACCTGCAGGGTCAGGGGCTGGGGAGCCACGAG